AGAGAGAGAGAGAGAGAGAGAGAGAGAGAGAGAGAGAGAGAGAGAGAGAGAGAGAGAGAGAGAGAGAGAGAGGCGCCGTAGAATAACGAACAAGGATGTATTCGTTTTTTCCCCCTGTGCGGGGATTGCCCGCATCGGCCCGCACCTCGGACGTCTTTCAAATTTGGGGTTACCTACTCTTTTACCCCAGCTGTGACTTTAACTCCGACCATCTCTCAGACGCCGTCTTTTTTTTAATATATATCCGACTCTCTCTATTTCTCAGATACTCAATATGTATACAAATGAAATCTCGGTTCATGGGCATGTCCTGGCAGAGCTTAGGTCAGGCTTGACACATTTGCGTTGAGAAGTAGGATTAATTAACTAACTGTGAATTGCATAACAAGTTGAGAACAATGATGACGGTGAAGATCGTGACGAATATGAAGATGACAAATGTTTTCTTTCCTTCTGTTTCTCTTTTGGGGGTAACTTCAGTAGAGTCACAAAAGAGAGTGATAATTGCACTACGGGGCAAGATACAGTTTTTTTGGGGGGGTGTAACTTCAGTAGAGTCACAAAAGACTGATAATTTTACCAATTGTTTGCTTTCCTTCTGCCTCTACAACAACCTGGGCGTTTGGGCGTTAAGGGGGAAACAAAATGAATGTGTCTGCTCGAGCTCGGCGCACAGCAGCCGAGAATAAGAAATATACCCTGAGCCACCTTCCACCGCCCATGTTGGGCTTGGCGTTCCTGTGATGGCATTTAAAAAAATATATATTTTTTAATATTTATTAAATTTATTTATTTATCGATTAATATTTTTTATATTTTTATTACATATATATATTTTTATACTTATATTTATATTTATATTTATATTTTTATATTTATATTTATATAATTATATAATTTATATTTATATTTATATATATATGTGACGATATATATATATATATTTTTTGTTTTTGTTTTTCCCCCCTAAGGATGACGGCCTTTAGATATCATTGAAACAGTTTTCACCTTTGGCAGTAGCCGATGCAGATCCCAGGGGTCTATCCCTTGACCTCAGCTTACCTGTGTACAGTATCTGCACAGTTCCCTGGAGTTGAACCCGTGCAGGTCACGATAGCCAGTGGTAAGTAGGTCRCCGTAGGTTGTAGGCTGTAGG